TTTGAAATGTTTACATCATTCAAATGTCTTACTGCGGCTGAGCGTCTCATCGCCGTAGTATACTTGAAGTCTTCTGTAGATATTTGTGGGTTTCACACTTCGTTCTCAAGAAACGTCATCACCACACGCTGTTCCATGCGCGCATTAACACTGTTGTCTGCCATCTTGATTAATGGTCTCTGGACTAGACTGGCCTGCAACATGTGTGCTGCCTATCAGTACTAGAACACACTTGGCACTACTGTGTGTATTACTGCAATGCTAGCACCCCTTTTTATACCTGTAAAATCAAAAGTCCAAGATTGACTTAAATGCCCCTCATAGATCCTAGAGACAGTCTATCAACTGTCCATAACTTAGTCCTGAGGCCAGTAGTATCAGGTGTAATTATTGTATATTTGGATAATACCGAGATATGTGTGACAGAAAGGGGGAATACATAGGATGATGATGCCCATAACCCTGTCCTGGGGCCAGTAGTATCAGGTATGATCATTGTATATTCAGAAAATACGGAGATATGTGTGTGATTGAAAGACGTACGGGGGTGGGTGGGGGATACAGGATAATGCTATCTATTACCTGGCCCTGGGGGTGTGATCATTGTATATTTAGCAAATACGGAGATATGTGATGGAAAGGGGAGAGATACAAAAGATGATGCTGTCCATGAACCAGTGATGGGGCCCCATCTTGACAGTAGTATCATGTCTGATAATAGTGTAATACAAAAATGATGAGGGGTAGGGTACACAGGATGAAGATGGCCATACCCCGGCTTTGGGGCCCCCTTGACCATAGTATCAGGTGTGATATTGCATATTAGGATAATAAGGAGTTGTGTGTAATGGAGGGATACATGGAATGATGCTGTCCATGCCCCAGCCCTGAGGACAAACCCTGATAGTAATATGAGGTGTGATAATTGTGAATTACAAACGTGTGAGTGATAGGGAGATCCCAGGTGATGCTGCCCATACCCCAGCCATAGAAATAGATATGCTAATTGTTTATTCAGGCAAGATATTTTGTGAGTGATGGGTGTGGGGTACAAGGGGTGAAGCTGACCATACCGCAGCCTTGGGGCCACCCCGGCCATAGTATTAAGTACGATAATTGTATATTCAGGTAATGCACACGTGTGTGATGAGGGGTGGGTACACATACTGAGGAGGCCAATTATTCTGGTGGGTTTCTTCACACATTGCATTCATTATCACCCCACTGTAGATGAGGCTACATAGCATATGGTGGCTCGGTGTGATAAGAGGGTGTTTTATGGTTTACTTCACTTATCACAATAATTGCATGAAATGGTGGCAACATTAGGAATGTGTGATATGGCTCATATGGCCTGATAACAGCAAAACATAAAAACAACATGAGAGTGAGAAGCTGGTCCATCATGTTGTACAGAGATCAGAGTCCACCTACTTCATCTGTATCCACCTTCCTTATATTGCAGCACATCCCTTCGGTATGTAGACAGGTCCTTTCACCTAGCCTTGTCCAGGCCAACATCTTTTTTCCTGTCTGCTGCATCCACAGCTTCATCTACTTCCAAGGTGACAGCTAAATAAGACATCATGAAAACCTACACGGCATTTCTGGAGATGCGACCCCTAAAATGGCCCCTGTCAGAAACTACTGGTCCTCTTGAGTCTGCGATATTCTTCCTCCTTTATTCACACACAGCCGTAGACACAAAGTGATATCCACCTGGCTGATTCTTCAGGAGATGGTGCTTCTGTTTATAATGAAAGGGTTGTTCAAGTGACCTGTACACACTCCAGGTTCCTACCTGGAAAAATGTCTCTGTCTCACTGTGCAGGCTCTGCCTTTATTATCACCACCTATGTGTCTGTGGATGGATTTGCATTGTTTGTAATGGCTTGTTTGTGCTCAGAAGCCAGGTGTGTTTTAATGTTTTTCTGCAAGCATGATACCTTGCAGAAAGTTATTTTATTCTAAAGGGCACCAAGCAAGAGAAGCAGAGCCTAGCCTTCAGCCAGTGACATTCTTGAATGAATTTTCAGCTTTCCCTGGTGCCCATTTGTTATATGTTTCTTTCCCTTGCAGGTTTAATGTCCAGATCTGTCCGTCGGGCGAAGTACAGAACTCCAAAGGCACTGCATAAATGAGGCACTGGCAGCAGAGAGGTTAACTGAGCAGTTGGGTCAGTACCAAGTCCCGGCACAATCCATCAGACGGGGGAATCCTGATACCTGAGCTGGGATTAAGAGCTCTAATTACTCGGCATTGGCCTTAATTAGGATCCTGTAATTGGGAGCAGGTCAGCGCAGGAGTGAACAATTACTGACATGTAAACCGCGATGAGAGAGGACGATAGTGGCGGCTTCTCATGCAAATCTCGGCCCATTAGCATCCGCTCAATAGCTCCTGAAACCCGAGTCCATGCTGGATGGGGGCACCTGTCCTCCCCACTGACACAATCTCACTCCCTCCCAAAGGTCACCGAAATGCCAGGCTTCTCCTAAAGAGCAGCTCACTCAGCGATGACAGATCTGGAGGCAATCGCCCATCATTCTCTGCTTTCAATGTGTGCCAGCCCTGCCCGACCGATTAACCCTTTCCATTCTGCAGAGAGACAGGTACACACAGAGGTACACACAGTATCATTGTAGACAGAAGGCCCTGGGGTCCAGCTGGAGTCTCAGCCTTCCTTGTAGCTAGCAATCAGAATTAATCACCTTTGTACAATTTTATGAGTCAGACACCTCTTTGACCTCCACCACATCTCAGGTGAGCCCATAATAGGTACAGTATACCTTAAACACCAAACTTTCTGTGGCTTGTATGGAGGAAAGACGCCATAACGTATTCTGTGCTTGGGGCATCATAGGGGGCTCCACAGGAAATGCAAGCCAAATAAAAGCCTGCAATTCACTCAATCAGCCGCTCATCACCACATCTGGAACATTTACTACCCTAATGTCCAACCTGCAGCTTGAAGGCCACATGTGGCCCTTTGGTACTTGTTGTTCAGCCCTTGGATCCCAGCAGTCTGTTGTGGATAATAACAGTGATCTCTAGTATTGTCATTTAATGTCTCCAGTCTATCTCGGTCTTCTGCAGCATATCTCTAGTCTCCAACCAAACATGCAGCATGTCTCCATTCTCTGGCCATCATTACCTCAAATACTGAAAGTCTCCAGTCTTTGACTATCATTTCCTCCAGTATGTCTGCAGTTTCTGAATATCATTTGCCCCAGTATGACAGTAGTCTCTGACCATCATTTCCTCTAGTATTCTAGTGGAGTTTGACCTTACTTGTCTTCCTCAGTGGCAGGTGCATGTTTCCCTTAACTCTGTTCCACACAATCCCCGGGTCTCCTATCATCTCCTAGACTGCTGAACACATCCGGGTGTTATGAATCCCAGCTCTTACCAGCCCCTGGAGCTCAGAAGGACCATGATTGATGGGACAGCTGAGATGTCACCAGGCACTGGGCCATCCATCACTGAGTTCAACTTGTGGGCCGCTGGTCAGCAGAAGAGCACGCAGCCATTTTGCTGTCTATAGAGCACCTTGCATCAGCTGTACTTGGAGTGCTGAGTTCCCAGTGGAGTAGACCTGTGCATACAGCCACCCGCTAGTGTATCCATACCAAAGTCACCTGTTGAACCACAAGTAACACAATTTACATTGGATTGACTTGTTTAGGAACTACTCCTGGCAGGTTCCGCTATTTCGACTGTAGCATTTTCAGTTTACCTTTACTCTGTATTTCCCTACATATCTCTTACCATTTTGTTCTCTATTGTCAATTTACAATCATTACTTCTGCAAACTCCTGGTTAAACTACTCATGGTCTGGTCCTTGGCTGATTTACTGTTACGTCACAGTATCTCAGAAGTCTCTGACTGTTCTCTCTAGCATTACATATATGGAATATTATGTGTGGGCCTTTGATGATGTCAGAGGATGCATTTAAGGCTCCCTATAACTTGTAAGTTGACAGGCTCAGACTCCATCTGTCATCTCATCTGTACTTCATATAAATAACTAGTGGTGAGGACCACAGAAAAAGTGAAATGGGTATTTTCTAAGACAAATAGGGCAGACAGAGCATGTAGAAGACCTACTGTCCATGTGTGAAATCAAAAAAATTCTACCTGTTTAATCTAATGCTATATGTCAATGCTCTGCATCCCCCATAACATTGTACATCCCCCGAAAAAATTTGACTTCCCACTGTAATGTTTTAAATTCCCTGTAACATTTTACTTCCCACTCTAATATTTTATATCCCCGTGTACCATTGTACATGTCCCTGTATTACTGTACTTCCCAATCTAATATTTTATATACCCCCTGTACCATTGTACATCCCCCTGTAACATTGTACTTCTCACTGTAATATTTTATATCCCCGTGTACCATTGTACATCCCACTGTAATGTTATACATCCCACTGTAACATACCACCCCCATAACATTTTACATCCCACTGTAATGCTATACAGTATATAAAAATGAAATCAGAAATAGTTTCGTGCTCCACTACCAATTGCAAAAAAGTCTGAATAAATAAATAACAGTCCAGCTTCGAAAGAGTGCATAACGTTATCTGTGCAATTATAATATTGCTACAGACATGTCCTTATTAAATCCTTGACCTTGACACTTCTTCCAGTGCTGTGATACAAAATTAATAACTGTGCAGTTCACCAATTGTCAGGGTCCTGTCCACGGCAGGAGTTCTGGAAGATCTGGCACTTCTGCCAATACTCTACATGGCAGAAGTACACATCAGCCTCAGTCTGGTGCCAGACGGCCTTTATAAGGAGGCTCATCACTTCCTCTGGTTGCTGGATGATCTCTAGCTCCACATGCCCTGTTCCTGGTTTCTGTTTCCTGTGTTTTTGATTTGGGATTTCCTGTTACCGACTCAGCTTGCTTCTGGAACTGTCTACTCTGATTTACCCCTGATCTCACGTCAGCTTGGCTTACGGATACTCTCTCGCTCCTATGAGAATGACCTCGGCTTTCCCATCTGACTACATCCGCTCTGATTCCCTCCTGGTACCTGACCTTGGCTTGAACCGACTACCCAGTAAACATCCAAATCCCGGAAGGTCTTGCATACCACGCACAGGCGCCTCCTATCTGCAGACCTATCTCCGTGCACCAGCTGTGCTTCTGAGTGGACCACCAACCAGCACTCCTGCAGGTGACCTGTGCAACTTTGGGCCTGACTCCCGCTGTCCCACTCTCAGGGGAGTCCGGAACTTAGCCGCAAGAGAAGCCCTCTCTCCATTGGCCTCCATCACCAGGTACGTGATAGTATCATCCAGCCAGTATGTCCGAGGCCGAGAGAGGCGCTTCCGCACTAGAGGCTCTGTGCCAACAGATGACGGCACTTACCCAAGCAGTGAAGGATTTACAGCAAGGATACTTCCAGCTAGAAGGGCGTCTTCACTCCCTCTCTACTTCCACGGACCAGGATCCCTCTGCCAGTTCCAACCCAGCAGCCGCACCTGCCAGTCAGTCTCCTGCCACCACTCCTGCTATTGTGTTACCACCTCCGGAACCCAGAGTTCCTACTCCGGAACGTTTTCTCGGGGATGGACGTAAGTTCAGAGCTTTCAAGAATGCCTGTGAATTATATTTTGCTCTGCAACCCAGGACCTTTTCTCTGGAAGCGGTCAAGGTCGGGTTCATCATCTTCCTCTTATCTGAAGAACCTCAGTCTTGGGCACATAGTCTTCTGGAACAAAAGAGCCCTGCACTCAAATCAGTGAGTGAATTCTTTGAAGCCATGGCTGCCCTCTACGACGATCCCCAGAAGACCTCCACTGCTGAGTCTGCCCTCCATGCTCTACTACAAGGTCGGTGGCCTGTGGAGGACTACATAGTGGAGTTCCGTAAATGGTCTGCAGACACCGGTTGGAACGGTGCAGCATTGAAGTACCAGTTCCGCCTAGGCCTGTCCGAGTCCATCAAGGACGAGTTAGCTAGGGTGGAAGCTCCCTCCTCCTTGGAGAACCTTACCCTGCTCGCTACCCGGTTGGATCAGCATCTACAGGAAAGACGCGCTGAGCGTACACAGACATTTCGGCCCACTTGGGTTCAGCCAACAGTTCCAGGGCCAATGGCTCCTGCCCTTGCTCCGCAACCCATCAACAATTCGGAGGTAGAACCTATGCAAATCGGCCTTCTCCGACCTGCCCTAACTCCAGAAGAAAGGCTACGCAGACAGCAAGGCAACCTCTGTCTTTACTGTGGGGCCACGGGCCTGTCAGGGATGAGGGTGTGACCAGAAGTGTGTGGACTGACACAGGGAAACGTAGGCTTCAGATATAGTAAATAATATAATTTATTGAGACTAACAATACAAATATAAACGCAGTGCACCAAACCCCAAGCTAACACAAATACATACAACAAGGTGAAACAAACCCAAACCTAAACTGATATAGATACACAGGTACATACACATATAGAGCACAACGTAGTCAGGCAGGCAGTCGATAACTATCAGGCAGGTAGGTACAGGAGGAGCAGGCGGAGAGAATGGTCAGGGTCACAAGCCAGGGATCAAACAGGAGAAGTCAGCAGAGGTCAGGATCAGGCAGGGTCGGCAACAATCAGGCAGAAACAGGAACAGGAATGCAGGTTACAAGATACAGGGGCCCAAGGAAAAACACACACACCAAGGCCCTGACTGTGAGTCTGGCCATTCCTTAAATACAAGCCCTGCAATCAGCTTCAGGTGTTTTGGCTGATTGCAGGGGTGACTCTCTGATTGCTGAGAGCACCCGCTGGCCAGCCCTGGTACTGCAGCCCACAAGGCAGGTGAGTCCCACCGTTATTGGCAAGTCCATTCCTGACAGGGCCACTTCCTGCGTAACTGCCCAGTACGCCCAAGTAAATCCAGCCAGCCTCATCCTTCGTACCTTCAGCTATCTGGGACTTCAACCACCATGTCATTCTCCCCATGTCATTGCAGGTGGCTGGAAGGGATGTCAAGTTGTGGGCAGTCGTTGACTCGGGAGCTTGTAGCTGTTTCTTAGACATCCAGTTGGCCAAGGACTTACATATCCCTCTTCTGCCTAAGAAACAGAGACTTGACGTCTTACTTGCGGATGGCACTGCTCCGAGTTCCGGACCTGTTACCCAGGAAACCACTCTTATTCTTGCAACCACCGACTCCGGCCATCAGGAGTTTATTCGTTTGGATGTGATCAGATCCACCATGTTTCCAGCCATCCTAGGAATACCCTGGTTGCAAGCCCACAACCCACAGATCAATTGGCCCAAGAAAGAAATCATCTTTTCTTCAGAATATTGCCTACAACACTGTGGTGCCCCTACACCCACCAATTCTTCCGTATGTCTCTCAGTCCAACCTTTCCCAGAGGCCAGTCAACTAGTTCCCTCTACCTACCATGACTTCCTTGATGTGTTTGATAAAAAGAAGGCCAACACATTGCCTTCTCATCGGTCTTACGATTGCCGAATTGAGTTACTCCCAGGAGCAGAAATACCATTTGGGCGAATTTTCCCATTATCCGAGCTTGACCTGGAAGCCCTCCGGCACTATCTAGATGAGAATCTCGCTAAAGGATTCATCCGCCCATCTTCCTCTCCTGCTGGGGCTGGTATTTTCTTTGTAGAAAAAAAAGATCAGTCTCTTAGACCGTGCATTGACTACAGGGAACTTAATAAAAATTACCATCAAAAAACGGTATCCTCTTCCCCTGGTGCCCGAGTTATTTCAGAGATTTCGAACAGCCTGAGTCTTCACTAAATTGGACTTACGGGGGGCCTACAATTTATTCTGTATAAGAGAGGGTGATGAGTGGAAGACCGCCTTCAGAACATGCTTCAGACATTTTGAATATTTAGTGATGCCATTTGGGCTATGTAATGCCCCTGCTACGTTCCAACATTTTGTGAACGACATCTTTAGAGAATACCTAGACCTTTTTGTGATCGTCTACCTGGACGATATCCTAATATTTCTCTACCTCACTGGAACTCCATCGTGATGATCACGTTAGGAAAGTGCTAAACACTTTAAGGATGCATGGCTTGAATGCCAAGGCGGAGAAGTGTGAGTTTGAGAAGCAGTCCATTCAGTTCCTGGAGCTCATAATTTCCACTGAGGGGATCTCCATGGACCCTCAGAAAGTATCTGCTATCCTGGATTGGCCTGCACCTTCAGACAGGAAAGGGGTCCAAAGATTCGTGGGTTTCACCAACTTTTACAGGAAATTTATTAAGGGCTTTTCCACAATCATTGCCCCTATTACTCAACTCACCCGTCAGCATACACAATTTTGCTGGAGCCAGGAAGCTCAAAAAACATTCAAGCAATTAAAAGATCAATTCACCTCCGCTCCTGTGTTACAGCATCCAGATCCAACAATCCCCTTCATCCTGGAGGTAGACACACCTGAAGTTGCTACAGGAGCCGTACTCTCCCAGCGCTAGGGCCCAAAGGCTCTGCTTCACCCAATAGCCTTTTGTTCTAGAAAACTGAGCCAAGCCGAGAGAAACTACGATGTGGGAGATAGGGAACTGTTAGCGATTAAAATAGCCTTTGAAGAATGGAGGTATCTCTTGGAAGGAGCCAGCCACCCAATTATGATTTTCACAGATCATAAAAATCTGGAGTATCTAAGGTCCGCCAAGCGCCTAAGACCTTGACAGGCTAGATGGGCTTTATACTTCTCCAGGTTTAACTTCCACATAACCTACCGCCCAGGATCCAAGAACGGGAAGGCAGATGCCCTTTCCCACATGTTCCCGGACCCAGAGGAGCCTTCTCCCCCCAACACCATTTTGTCAGCCTAAGCTTTTTTACTGATCCAACCCAGTCTAAAGTCTTTGATCAAGCAAGCCTCTGCACTATGCCCTGAACCTGAACAAAATTTGCTTAGAAGGCAGGATGGTCTTCTGTGGCTCAAGGAAAAAATCTTTGTACCCCCAAAGAAGTGAGGTCTCAAGTGTTAAGGGCTTTTCATGACCATCAACTGGCTGGACACTTTGGAGCCCATAAGACAATGGAACTAATCCAGCAATCCTTCTGGTGGCCCAACCTGAATCATGACTGTAGAGCTTATGAGAAGTCGTGCAGAGTGTGTCTGCGAAACAAGGGAGACAAAGCCAAGGCCTGGGGGTTGCTGAAGCCCCTGCCCATTCCTGATCGTCCCTGGAAGATGGTCGCAATGGACTTCATTGTGGATTTGCCACCCTCAGAGGGGTTTACTACCATTCTGGTAGTAGTGGATCGGCTATCCAAGATGGCTCACTTTTTACCAATGCTGGGTACGCCATTAGAGACTGCACTAACCTTCATCAAAGAGATTGTCAAGTTACATGGTCTGCCAAGTAATATCGTCTCAGACCGAGGGGTGTAGTTTTTGTCCAGATTATGGAGAGCCCTCTGCAAAGCCCTGAAGGTGGAACTCTGCTTATCGTCTGTCTACCATCCTCAGAGTAACGGGCAAAACGGAGCGAACAAACCAGACTTTGGAGCAATATTTACGGTGTTTCTCTGCCTTTTCTCAGGATGATTGGGCATCTCTACTCCCATTGGCAGCATTTGCCTACAACAACTCAGTCCATTCTACCACAAACCAGTCGCCATTTTGGGCCAATTATGGATTCCACCCTTCCTACATACCTGACACCATTCCTGAAGCTTTGGTACCCGCAGTACAGGACAGACTCTCCATACTGCAGAACAACTGTAAAGTCCTCGAGAGTCTATACTGAAATCCCAGACTGATTATAAGAAACACTACGACAGGAAACAGAGATGAAACCCTCCTCTGAAGATTGGAGACAAAGTTTGGCTATGAACTGCCAATCTAAAACTCCCGTGCCCGTCACGTAAGTTGGGTCCAAGGTACATTGGCCCTTTCTGGATCAAGAGGATAATAAATCCAGTGGCGTTTGAGCTGATCCTTCTGGAATCATACAAGATCCACCCAGTTTCCCACGTCTCCCTACTCAAGCCAGCTGTTCCTGATCCTTTTCCAGGGAGAGTAGAACCACCTCCTCCGCCGATAACAGTTGGGGAGGAGACGGAATACGAGGTTGAAGCAATTCTGGACTGCAGAAGGTGGGGAAGACAAATCCAGTACCTGGTCAGATGGAAGGAGTACCCACTAAAGAAAGTTCCTGGGAACTAAAAGGGAATGTACATGCCCCCAGGCTTCT